AGGGAGCCCGACGTGGGGCTCGATCCCAGGACCCTGGGATCATGACCTGAGCCGAAGGCAGACGCTTAACGACTGAGCCACCCAGGCGCCCCTTGAAGAAGTCATTTAATCAACAGTTGGGATTCTTGGGATGTTATAATAGCGGATTACTAACACTGAAGTGTTAAATCTTCGGATTGTGTTGATGTAAGCAGAGGACTGGGTTCAAAAAATGTCTGCTCTGATTTCCATCGTAGCACCTGTGCCAAAGCATTTCTCTGGCAGAGGCAGAATCCATACTTAGCCAGAACTAAAACAGCAGAGATGTGCATGCTGATAGGTAATAAAGGCACTACTGTGCTCACGTGAAGTGCAATCCTAGTAAAACTCTTAGGTGAGGTAAAGTTTTAGAAATTGAGTACATGGATTTTCAGTTGACTTTTTTTTATTCATTAAATTGCTTATGTATACAGGAAGTCAGCCTCAGTATTAGTTTAAAGATTTGCTCCTATTTAAAAATCAAGTCTTGGGCCATAATTTTGCACTGACTTAAAGTTTGAATGTTAGTGGTTACCAAAGCAAGTTGCATATTTACCAGGTACCATCAGCCAACAAAGGGAATCTTGATCCTATCACTGTTAGTAGCTATTATTTCATATCTTGTTTTAGAGGCATATAAAAATACAACACTTTTATTCAAAATGTTTTTCCTGTGAATAAATAAAGGAGGAGGTTAAAAAGATATTTCTCCATTTCCTCAATAATGAAAAATGCTGTAAGTTTTCTCACTTAGAAATACTTGTTTTCTTATTTTCAGCAGGAAGAGACAAATGGTTTGCTTTTTTTTTTTCCTTTATGCCAAACAGTGTTACAGAATCTTTTAAATTAGGTCCACTGCTAAGCATTTCAGGTAATAGTTCTATTATCAGATATTCAAAGAGTAAATTTCAGATTGTAGATGATGTTTAATTTCACTGTTCTTTTGTTCCTTAAAACATTATTGTGAGTCAACAGGACAGATGGTATTATTCTCTTTTGACAGGTTGAGAAAGAGGAGGCTGACCAAGCTTGCTATATTGAACCATGTGTATAAAATTAATATGTAATGAAGCCAGGTGTTGAACTTAGCTCTCCAGCCCTCGATTTGGAGTAATTAAAAATCAAGAGTATTGTAGGATCTGCACAGATTCAGTGGTAAAGCAGAGAACAGGATGTCTGCTCTCTTTTCACCAAACTCTTAGGACTTTCTGTGTTTGAAGGTCTATCAGTCTGTTTAGTTTACATGACAAATCGGAAAATGAATTTGTGATGATTACTTTTCCCTGAAAGAATATCCCTGGTACTTTTTGCAGTTTGGTTGGCTGATATAATAAAAATGAAAGTTGGTCTTTTTCAGAGGAAAGTATACAATTACTAACGTAACGTAAACCATTATATTTTGATGTCATACTGTTGAATGAGAAATCTATAACTTTTCATTGAATTCTTTTGCATTTTTTTCTGATGTCCGTGTTCTGCTAAAAGCATTATTATTTTCTTTTTGTTTATGCATAACTTCAGTGTCTTTATTACCTGACTACTACATATAGATTATAAGCAACTTCTATAAGTGTTATGTGAATGGATATATCAGTGAAAGAGAAAATAGCTTATGCTTTAAGACTACCATCTGGAGTTGACTTTCCCAGTTTAGTAAATGAGAGAGAATTCTTTTATTTACCAGTAACCTTAGCATATATCCCTAGTTTGAAGAGAGGAGAGACAGAAGCATGATGCAATTCACGTGAAATAACCCTGATGTCACAGGTTTCCGTTGTCTCTTGGAGTTCAAAAACACATTTTGCTACTCGAATGTGTAATAGCTTGTAGTGTCTCAAATGTATATGTCTTCAAATTTATTTATAGGTATCTGTGTTATATACTTATTTGCTGCTTATGTGACCTGTTGTGAGAAGGTACTAAATTTCATGATTTAGTGATTAGTGATTTAAGAGTTCCGGCTCATCTAAAGTTTGGGGATATACTGTATACATAATTTACACATTTAACGTCTGTTCTTGATATATTAACTAGTTAATATTTGTGATTATTTAAACACATCCACATATACAACTTTGATATGTAATAGAGATGAATTTTTTTTTCCTTTATCCAAAGGTTTGCTGAGAATGGAATTTGAACCATATGTTAGAATTTGGGCTTTGGGTAAAACTTGTGAAGAAGTTAGCATGAAGGATGAGTGTTAATTAAGTGCCATCACTACCTAGATGCTAATGGGTACTGTGGGACTAATACATGCTGTACCCTTCTCTTCCCTACCCAACATATTTGGAAGGTAGTCTAAAAGTAGTAAATGTGAAACTAGCTATAGTTTAAGTGTTCTTTGAATTGACAGCACTTTTCTTATATAGCAAAACCTCACTAGTAGACTAGTTTTCTCAAATATTCAAAAGAAACAAATACTATGAAATAGTGTTGTGTATTTTATACATAATGAGTTAGTTATACTTCTTAAAGTTAGCTCACTGTTTTGATAATACAAACTCCAAAGCATGTTTTGTTATGCTTGAAAGAGTTATAAGTTATGAATAATATTTAGGTTGTAACCATATGAAGTAAAGATAAATGGCAACCATAACACCAAATTTTCTGGTAAAAAGCACAGGGTTTTATAGCATTTTGTCTTCTGATTAATTTCTCATATAGCTTATGAGCTTATAACTGAAGCTCACTCCTGGATAAAATCAGATCATTTTATTTATTTATTTATTTTTTTTAAAGATTTTATTTATTTGAGACAGAGAGAATGAGAGAGAGAGCACATGAGAGGG